TTGTATGCCGTGATTATGCCATTTTTATGCTGATCATATTGTTGGCTTTCCTATTAAGTCAGTTCGTGACTGTATTGCTGACTCCCATCGCATGATCTTGTCGGACAAGGGAACACCACGATCGTTGCTTGCCGATATTTGGTCACAAGCCTTCTATGTGTTGCAATCCCGTCGGTCTTTCTTGCACGCCGCAATCCCGTTAGTGTGTCACGAGGACGAAGTAGGTGCAGAAAGATGGAAGTTTAGGGTCTCGATAAGCCGCGAGTCAATCGATCCTTTCTTTTGTTGATTCAATTTCCAGAATCTTGAGTTCTGATACCAATTTGATATGATTCGAGTTAGAAATTAGCACAATTTTTTAGAAAAATTTGGGTAAATCACTATTTTTCTTCAATAACATCAAATCAAAACAATATAACACATGAATACAATAGATAAGAGGTAGGCGATCTCTCCCAGTTCTTACAATTCGAGAGGTAGAAAATCTCTCCCAAACCTTAAATCTAAGACTCACAACAATAATCTTATGTATAAATCTACCCCTTAACATAATGACCCCATTTTTACCCAATAATAATAATAATAATAATAGATTAAATTTCCCTTAGGCGTAAAATAAACAAAATTGCCCTTTGGCTAGGAACCAACGTGACATAATATTACATGAAGAAAATTTTTGGTTACACTAATGTAGCAAAATTTCTGATTCAAATCAGTTTAAAATCTAGATAAGTGCTAGCACATCCAAACATTTAACATGAAACTATGTTATCTAACACAATTCTACATGCTCAAGATGTCGAGTCAAATGGATTATAGATCTTTTGGATGCCTAAAATTTGTGAGCAAATTATGTTTTGAAATATTTTTTTATGCGCTATAAAAAATTATTTTAATTTATTAGAACTAAATGAAAATATGACACTAAATAGGACGCAATGGAAAAAAAAAGATTCATGCAGTCGACCCCACGTAGTGGGATTTAAGGCTTTGTTGTTTTGTTGTTTTTGTTGCTGTAATAGCTTTGTGATAATCATGTGTTTGAATATGCCTTGATCAAAGGGTTTTTGATGAAGCATGAGTCTAAAATAACACAATAAGATTTTAGTCTAAAAAATGAAAATATAAATAGGCAAGCTTTTTCATCATAGTTGTTGATAATGTCATCAATGCCAATAAGTTATTCAATGACATCAACCTTGATAAAAAAATGGTTCATTTGAATTTCTTTTTAGTAAACTTTGCAAATGAGGGATTATAATTTTGCAATGGATGGAGGGCTTACTTGGCTTGCAATTTTTGGAGCTCGGTGAACTTCAAATGCGAGGGAGTTTGTTGCTTTCGACTGAGTGAGAGGAGCTGCTCGTGTGAATTAAACTAGAAAGTGGAGAGCAAAGTGATTTGCAAAATTGATTTTTTTTTTATTTGGCCGAAGAAGACAAAATGGTTTTTTTATGGCATAATGAAGGCTCTCTTACTATTATATTCTCCTCCCCTTTAATTAAAATCAAGGGTTAAGATTAAGAGTGGCCAGGGCATCCTATAGGAAAGGTTGGAAGGTAAAACTACCTTCTGATAGCCCATTCTCTCCTCCTTATTCTCTCTCTCCAACGATTTCTTAATTTTAATTTTTTTTTAAAATTTTTTTAATTTTTATATTTAGTACTTTTTTTAAGTTAGTTTAAATTTATGTTTTAATTTGATTTTGTCTAATTTTATATTATGTTTTATTTTAAATTTTGGTTGAGTTTATTTATGATAAATTTATAATTTGAATTTTGATTTAGTTTAGATTTGATTTATTGTAAATTTAGGTTTTCTATTTAGTTTGGTTAGTGTTTTTAATTTTGAGTTCATTTTAGTATGCTTTTAATTTTAGTTTTAATTTTTGATCTGTCATCAAGAAATTTTTATCATCTAGTACGTATCTTGAGGCATTTTTGTGCAAGAAACATACCAAATTCAAATTGAAGATTATCTAAGGCCTTGATTTTAGCAAGTTATTGTCAAATAGATTGTCTCAACAAAACAAACCTGATGATACCAAAATTGGCTTGATCTGAATCTAATTAAGCCCAAATCAAACTATTAAAATATTTTTGGAGGTTTTGGATCGTTAATTAAATACTTAAATGAATTCTAAATTTGACATATTATATTCAAATCGAGCATTTCGACGAGAGGAATTCAACAAACATAAGCTCCATTAATTCTGTGGTCATTAAGGCCCTCAAATAATTAAAAAGCTCCATATGATCAATGACGAACAACATAAACCGCCCGATTAGCTGCTTGAGGAAGTTATTTGCCAAAAGATCAAAATGACTCCACTCATAGGTTATAAATAGACCCATTCTCTTTACTTGAAAGGGGGGGGGGGAGTGAATTTTGGAGCCTGATTTAAACTGAAGACCTTTCGATAAATTCTTACCTCTGTAACCACCGACCACCGTCAATTACTGCCGATAATAACCACCTATAATATTTTTTTTTTCAACTCCTACTTTCGAAATGATATATCCCAATTATAGCTGTAATGTGCAAAGCTGTTTTCAACTTCCGACGACAACTTCAGGCCTCCGTATTCGCTTTCCACCTTCCGTCGACCACCATCGATCGCCATTGTTTGCTTTTGCTAGCCGCTGTCGGCAACCTTTGCTTACTAATGTCGTGTATGCAATACAAGTATAACAAATAACGCGGTATTGAAGATTCAACGATAACATTCGATGAGCACTGTTTATTGAAGCGTTGTGTCTGATGTAAAATTAAACATTCTATTGCCATTGTGAGAAAATAGTGTATCTTCGTATCTACTCACTTATAATGGATTATTTCGATTGGGCTAGACATTCTGATTTTCTTTCTTTTTGGGTTTTTTCACGTAAAAAATTATGGTACCTTCTCTTGCTACCTTTTTGTTATTCATCTGGTTTATGGATCTTCGTGCAATACTAAGATGTTAAATAGTCACTCTACTATTGCGAATTTTTTGGCACACAACTATGCTTATGTTAGGTTTAGATTTTAGTTTTACATTCTATTCAACATTAACCCAATCACTAGGATAGTCATTTAAGAGCCCAAATGAAGGAACTCCTTTACTATAAGATGGAATCCTATAGACTAAGGAAGAATGCTTTGACCTCATCAAACTTGAGCTCAACAACCATCTAGTTTTGCTCGATAATTTATCTTTCAAGAAGTTTATAGGAGATCGTATAATTTTTTTTTTTTTTTGAAAACGTAAATTTTCAAATTTCAAATATTGAAGGGTATGAGTTTTGAATGACCGAATTGACAAATATCAAGTGCAATCATCTCATTACATCTCATCAATAAAGTATTTGGTTATTGTAAACTTTACGTGACATATCTACGGCAAAGGCTAGGAGTCAGATGGGGAGCAGTGTCGACCCCGTAGATTGAAAATCGTTATTGAGATGTTTTTTCTAAGAAAATTGGATTGAATTTTATTGCAAGATTTCAGGTCTAGTTATGAGCAAAATCATTGCAGGAGTTAATATAAAAACATACATATACATTCTAAATTGACTCCACCATAGAAGGAAATTTATTCCTGAACTTTATATTTAAAGATAATTCCGTCAAAATTTATATTAATCCGAACTTACTTTATTTTAAAATTTAAACTTGTAGTTATCCTCCTGTAAACTTGATCTCCATTTTCCCTGATCTCATTTATATGATGTTTGATTCATCATGATTTCTCTCATGGACTTTTGGTGACATCTTCGATCTCAACCCTGTGATGACCATTATAGCTGGTCTCCAAGAAATCAGGTTATCTGAAATCAAATGTCATGATCCCTTCATGATTTGATGTTTGAATTATGCGGGTAGCTTCATTATAAGTTTCTTTTCAATAGATGGTTGGATTTACCATTCCTTTTATGGTCTTATCACTATTTTATATTGCCTTTGAGGCAAGCCTGAAAATTGATTTTTAATACGCATCTAGAAGCAAAATGGTGGTCGTTTGTTCTGGTGTTCTATCCATATTTCTAAAGACTATCCCTGAGTTTGTGGGGATTTAAACTTCTGCATAGGTTTTTTTGGCCTATCTATTTATCTCTCTGTCTGTCTATATATATATATATATATATATATTCATCTCAACCTTTTTAACATCAGATTATTATTAAACAATTTCACATAGCATAATCATCTCTCAAGCATCTGTTGGTGAGCTCACTAGTTAGCGATGTTGGCGCATTGTTTCGTCATTTTGACTGTCTTTAAATATTGAACATGTGCTGTTATGTGCACCTTTGAAAGGTGCAGTGTTTTGTATATTGTACCATATGTTCTGGAAAAAAATATTACATCAGGACTTCAATCGCAGTGCGCCACGGTACGGTCCGGCTCCGCCATACATTAAACTATTTAGTTTTTATTATTCAGTGGGTCCGGACTGGACACGTGACATTGTGATTGGAGTTCTAATGCAATTTTGCATCTAGATTCCTGTTCTAATATTTTTTGTGTGCTGTCATGTGCACTTAAACAAACATTTATGGAATGGAGGGTTAGTGTTTGGTTTTTGGGACATTTACATATATACCCTCCAATTCCTATATATTTACATACCTAACAACTAATTTGGACATTTTACATCTATACCACCAAAATCTTTCAGATCTCATAAAAAAAGCCACTATCTTAACTTTTAAAAAGGGAAGTGCACATTTTTTTTATGTGTGCATAATGTGGTATATATATAACAATGAATTTTAGGTGTTAGACATGTGAATACATAGGAATTAAGTTGCATTTATGTACATCTTCCTTTGTTTTTTGTTTACAAAAGCATATATACCTTTCATGTGATGTCCCATTTCCAAGGACAAATAATTGATTGGGAACTTGGATTTTTTGCTTTAAAATGATTTAAACAGCTGCGGTTTGTTTTATTATTTTTTATTTCCTCTTGTGGTGCTCTTGGTATTTGTAGGCTTATATTGATCCAATGTCTGCAGGTTTGTGATTTTGGCCTTTCACGCTTAAAGCACAGTACTTTTCTGTCATCTAAATCTACTGCTGGAACAGTGAGTACCATTCTCAGTATCAAGTTGTTTTATCACATTTTTGTGAATGCTTCCTTAGTATTGGCAAGCTTGGTAAACCTCATTACATTTTTCTTATGAGCTAAATACAAATTCTTTTTCCTATCAGCCGGAGTGGATGGCACCAGAGGTTTTACGTAACGAACCATCCAATGAAAAGTAAGTTCTTGGCTGATTCCATTTTATTGAGTTGTCTTATTTTGCTTAATGACGTGCATTATTCTCTATCATTTTAGTGGTTTTTTATATATTAGTCTGCATGAATATTTTAATTACTCTTTTTAGTTACCTAGATGGAAATTGTCATTTGATTAAGCGCAGAGGGCATATTTTCTTTTTGTTGATGCTCACAGTTTGAAAAGGCCTTGAGAGGGCTAGATAAACTTTTTTGCTTTGTATTCAACTGAAATATTTTATGTTAGCAGATGCGGACAACCTTTTTTCAAAATGACAGGCTAGAGTTAGAATATAAAACATGCAAAATAGAAGCAGGAAAAATAAAATAGTTGTCATGTATACCACCTATAGTTAGGAAAAACTTGAACCACATCTTGGCCCTCAATTTTCTTTTTTCTGCTTTGTAGTGTTTCAATTTTTTTAGTAGCGTTTTGATTTATTATTTAAAATATCATTTCTTGTCTCAAGTGTTTTAAAATTGTTTTATTTGAAATTTCCTTCTATGGAACTATAGGGTCATTAAAATGCAATTTTGATAGTTGACAATTGACATGATGAAATTTACTGATTGAAAATTATAGTCAGTTATGTTATATCCGTGATTCTGTTTAATCATAATTGTAAAAGATGGCTTCCTATCTCTGTGTCACAGAGTAAAACCATATTCCATTTCCATTGACTTCTTTCATGGGTTTCGAGTAGGAAAAGGATAGGTGTAGGCAGATGCTTTACCTGTCAGCGTTAAATTTTCACAGGCATGCTGTATGATTTTGCATGATGATTTCACCGTGCGGGTGGAAGATGGGCAGGGTGGGCCATGCTTGCGGTTTCACTGGTCATCTTGCTGCTAGGATAGTTCTTCTGCTAATTTTGGCTCTGCAATAAATGAAATATTACTTATTTAATTTATTATATTGATACAACAACAAGCCTTTATCCCACTAAGTTGAGTCAGCTACATAAATCGTTTTTCTCCATTGTGTCCTATTGAGTGTCAAGCTTAATCCAATCAGGCAAACTTTCCATTCTTCCTCTATATGCCAAACCTAGCCACCGAACTGAATAAGAATTTTGTAAATTATAAATTAGGGAACAAACCCACATAAAAAACATGCAGTGCTAGGATCAAACTGGATTTTTCCTTGAGAGTACAAAATGAATATTTGTTTTAAAAATATCTTGGAACAGGGAATCACGATGGGTGGGAACCTCGGCTGAAGGTTGCATCCGATCGCGCCAGTGCCTTTTGTTGCATCAATCGCGACAGCTTTTCGGGCAGAAGGAGATTCAAGAGTCTATGGGGACGAACGAGTTGATTATGGGGTGAGCTAAACTTATGGGAGAAGGGAAATCAATATGGGCCGAGGAAGGGAACTCAACCACCACTTCATGGGTGGAGTGAACTTCAGTCAAGAAAATTAAGAAATAGACTCATGCATAAGGAAGCTAAAGATATCGATCTTTGAAGGAGAGGATACCTATGGTTGGATTTATCGTGTGGAGAGATACTTTGTTATTAATTGACTGACGAAGGAAAAAAATTGATGGTGGCAGCTAGGGGTGCAAACAAGTTGAGTCGAGCTCGAGCCACCGCCGACTTGAGCTTGAGCTTGATTAATTTAATCGGTTCGAGCTCGAGCTTAGTTCTACGAGTTCGAGCCGGCTTATGAGGAAATTTGTTTAGCATTAAATAGAGAAAAAAACATTAATTTAAGCTAATGTTGTAATTAAATGATAAATGGAATGAGCATTTATGAGATAATTAATAAGAAATCACTTGATATAAAATGTAAAATACCAGTTTTCAAAATTTTTTAATAATTTAAAGATTTTTTTTTTGAAATTTTAATATATTTTAGGTATATTTTTTATTAGTTATTTTTTAAATGAGTTGACTCACGAGTTAATGTGTCAGAGCTAGATTGAGCTTGGTTTGTTAGCTCATCAAGCTCAGTTCACGAGCCATTTATTAAGTCAAGCTTGTGTCGGCTCACGAGCTAGCTTGACTCACTTACATCCCTAACGACAACCTTGTGTTTCGAAGAGATGGCTTTAGCATGGTATCAATAGAGAGAACAACGTCAACCAATCAGAGTTGAAAAGAATTTAAGGGTTGATTGATGGAGCTTTTCAGAACTGCGCGGGAGGGGATTTACACGAGTAGTTATTTGCATTGTTTTAAGAAGGGTCCGTCATGGATTATATGGATGCCTGTAAATGCTATTCGACCGTTTGAGAGGGATATGAAATGTAATATTGGAAGGAAACTTCATGAAGGGGTTGAAGCTAAAGATTCAGGCAACATTTTGTCTGTTGAGGTCGCAAGGATTGGGGAAACTATGGAATTAGCTCAATTGATGAAGATAAAAATGTAATTGAATGGACTAATAGGAGCGACATAGTTGGAGCGCCATATCGAAATGCTTTAACCACGTCGGTACAAAAAAATCAAATATTAGGATTCCAGAGAAAGGCTCCATGGGACATAAATAATCAGCCACGACTGGGAGTGATCTCAAACGTTTTACAGAGACAAAGATTCAAGAGAAGTGCACCAATGGGCTATTTTTTATGTGATGAGAAGTTTGCCTCAGGATACCGTTGCAAGTATCGGATTTTGTAGATTTTCACAGTGTGTAATGAGAATACAAGGGATGAAAAGATGAGGAGGTTGTGGTGGAGGAGGAACACACTCACTTGAATTTGTAGGAGTTTCATTGAACTCATTGATGGGGTTCACACCAAACCACACTATGAAACATCGGGGGATAGATTGGGGAGCAGGATATAGTGGTGTTGGTAGATAGTAGTGCCGCACAACTTCATCTTCATTCAAGTAGTGGAGCAATTGGAACTTGAGATGATCGACACAAGAAACATGTAATGATGAGGAAGGGATTGATGGAGAAGATTTGAGGAGTTTGTAAAGGTCTGATTTCAACATTGCAAAATATTCAGGAGATTGAGAAAAATTTCCCTTTGGATTTAGGGATCATTAATATTATAGTGGGTATGAAATGGTTGCAATCCTTAGGGGAGACAAGTATATTAGGAACTCATGACAATGGAGTTTTAAGAGGGAGACAAGAGGGTAGTGATTCGTGGTGACCTAGTTTGTGCAAGATCTTTGTGACACTAAGGCCATGATTAGAGAAATTCATGAATTAGGGTTTGGATTCTTGATTGAGTTGCATAGCATAGAAGAGATACATGATACAGAGTTGGCAAAGATTTCGACACCAGCCCAATGGCTCTTACAATAGTTTGCAAAAGCTTTCCAATTGTCATGCAGATTGACTCCTTGGAGGAAACATGAGCATAAGATAAACCTGTGACCAGGGGTTTCTCCCATCAGTGTGTGATCATACCATTACCTATAAGTGTAGAAGGACGAGATCGAGAGATTGATCTGAGAAATGTTGGAGGCAGGGTCCTACAAACTAGTGTGAACCCGTTTTCTAGCTAGGTCTTGTTAGTGAAAAAGAATGATGGGAGTTGGTGTTTTTATATGAATTATTAGGCAGGCAATGAATAAGAAAATCGGTACCTGACAAATTTCCTATCTCGATTATTGATGAGCTGCTCGACAAGTTGTTTGGTGTTGCAATATTTTCTAAGATTGACTTGAAATCAGGATACCATCAAATTCAGATGCGGACATCAGATGTGCACAAGCTGCTTTTCAAACTCATGAGGGTTTCTACAATTCTTTTATTATGCCATATATGCTCACCAATGCCCCAACTACATTTCAATCACTGATGAACAAAGTGTTTTCGCCTTTCCTCTAGAAGCTTATGATGATGTTCTTGACGATATCCTAGTATACAACCGCTCCTTGAAAGACCACATTGTTCCAAGGTGTTGAGAGTACTTGGTGAGCACCAGTTCTATGCTAACTTGAAGAAGTGTTCGTTTGCCTAATTGATGCTGGAGTACTTAGGACATATGGTGTCAGCTGTAGGGGTGTCGACAGATTAATCGAAGGTGGCGGTTATGCAGGATTGGATAGTATACAAGACCTTGACGGGGGTTAGAGGATTTATGGGATTTACATGAAACTATTGGAAGTTCTTGAAAGGTTGCAGCTCAATTATGCGGCTGTTGACAGAGCAATTGAATTAGGATAACTTTTTTGGGGGGGGGGGGGGGCCACCCAAACTTAAGTTAAAAGAGGGCTATGATAAGTGTACCGGTGTTGCCGTTATCTGACTTCAGTCAACCTATCATTTTAGAGACGGATACTTTATAGGCTTTCGGTTAGGCACAATCCTTATGCAGTGTCAACGATCCATCAATTATTTTAGTTAAGTGTTGTCTGTGAGAGCCAAAGTAAAGTCAGTTTATGAGTGGGAGCTTATGGTGATTTTTGCTTGCTATTTAGAAATGCCGACCATACTTGGTGGGGTGACATTCTATAACACGCAAGGATTAGCACAACCTTAAAATTTTTTTTAGAATAACTTATGATGACTGAGAAACATCAGTGGTAGCTATCTAAACTAATGGGGTGTGAATTTGAGGTTAAGTATTTTCCAAGATTAAAGAATATGGCCGTTGATGCCTTATCACGACGGATGGAGGAACTTCATTTGTTGGCATTATCAGTCCCTTTAGTTTTAGATTGGGAGGTCTTGAGGCAAGAGAGTGAGGCAGATGAGGAATTGGGCAAGATCCAATCGGCTTTATTGAATGGTTAGAGCAACTATCCCGATTATTCATTGAATGAACCATGTTTACTATATTAGGGATACTATGTATTATCTCAAAATTCAATACTCATACCAAATTTTTTATGGGAGTTTCACTGCAACACTATCGAGGATATTTAAGCGTGCTCAAAACATACTGGAGGATAGCACCTGAATTGTATTGGACAAGAATGAAAAAAGATATGGATGACATGATTTCAAGGTGTGATGTATGTCAACAACACAAGTAACATGGTATTAGGGCTCGGTGTTTGCTGCAACCCTAGCAATACCTGAGAAGGTATGTGAGGAGGTGTCAATGGATTTCATTGAAGGCTTAGCTTGGTCAGAAAAAATTATGGTTATCTTGGTGGTGGTGGATCAGTTTAGCAAGTATGCTCATTTTATACCTCTACGTCATCCATATGCTGTTGTTTTTGTTGTTGCTATTTTAATATAGGAGGTTTTTCTTTTGCATGGGATTATATAATCGATAGTGTCGGATCGAGACGAGGACTTTTTGAGTCATTTTTACAGGGAGCTATTTAAAATGCAATGAACCATGTTGAAGAAGAGTACACCGTTCCACCGACGGGCTGATGGACCTTTCGATGTGGAGACTTATTTATGTTTCTTTTTATCCGACACACCTTAGCAGTGGGCTAAATAGTTATTCTGGGCAGAATAATGGTATAACACCTCGTATCATACAAATTCTTAGAACACTCTTTAAAATCTTGTATGGTTGTGATCTACCCCATTTGATGCAATATGGACACAACACTACGCCGATGTCTTTGGTGAATCAGTACTTGGAAGTGAGGCGGGGAGCTGGCAGAATTTAAGGGACATTTATTGAAAGCTCAACTATTTATGAAGAAACAAGTTTATAGACATTGAAGGGATGTGCAGTTTGCGTAGGAGATATGGTGCACCTAAAACTTCGACCCTACCGACATAAAATTTTGGCTAGATGCAAGAATGAGAAGCTCTCCCATACTATTGATCCTTATAAGATCACTATGCGTGGTCAGGTGACTTAATGTTTAAAATAGCCACCTTTGTCGAGACTCCATTTAGTGTTCCAAATATCGTAGCTAAGACGTACTATTGGTGATAATGTGCCATCTTTTTCGCCTACCCCTATTTTAACTGAGTATAAGGAAGTTCTCTTGGTGCCACTTGAGTTAAAGGGGGGCATTTGGAGTCGACAGGTGGGAAAGAATTGCTGATTAAATGGAAAAGGTTGTCAGATTATGACGTCACGTGTGAGCCGTATGAGTTGATCTAATAATAGTTTCCTCTCTTCCACCTTGAGGACAATGTTTCTTATTGGGAGGGCAGTGATGTTAGACTTGCACCTACGACACCTTCCGCATGGTGCATCACTGAGTCGAGTAGTCCCATACCCATGTGGAGCCAAAAAAAATTATTTGAAGGCCTATTTTTGGCATTAGATTAAAAGGGAATTTAGTCATTTGTTAGTTATTATTGTTGGGCCTAAATAGGGCTCAGGATTAGGGTATGTGATTGTTGTTTTAAATTTTAGGAGTTGGGGCTTGGGAGAGAATTGCCTATTTCTCGAATTGTAGGTTTATCTTTTATGCATTTGGGATTGTATTGTTTTGTGTCGATAGATTAAAATATTTTATTTGCCCAAATCTCTCGTCTCCTTCCTATCACAGTCTAGCAAGAAAATCACAAAATAGCCGCCTTAAACGATCTCAAAGGTATCATCCAAAAACAACGCGTTTTGTGTTGAGGTTAAATCATATCACTTTGTGGAGGTTCAGATTTTATAAACCCCTTAAATAACTTGTACTTCGACAAACTAGCCTTTTTGTTTGATTGTCAAGTCCCAGAATACCCTCCTGCAACTTTCTAATATTTCTTGTCTCCCCCCGTTTTATATTTTCTGTCTCCTGTTTTTGACTTCCCTATTTTATGAGCAGGTATTTATGGAATAATTGGCATCTTTTACCCCTATTTAAGTTTATAAATTATGAAAGAGCCTTTAGATAGTATCATCCCTCAAAATGATTCTCTGTTGTATTTTACACAGATGTGATGTCTATAGTTTTGGAGTCATCCTATGGGAGCTTGCAACACTGCGCAAACCTTGGAGCGGTATGAACCCAATGCAGGTTGTTGGTGCCGTCGGCTTCCAGAATCGACGGCTCGAAATTCCCAATGAAATCGACCCTCTAGTTTCCAGAATCATTTGGGAATGCTGGCAAATGTAATTTTTTTTTTTTTTTGCATAAAAACACAAATTTGCATCCTTGTCTCTCACTTTTATGACTCATTTTATTTCTATTTCAGGGAACCAAGCTTGCGCCCTTCTTTCGCGCAGCTCACAACCGCTTTAAAGTCCTTGCAGCGCCTCGTCGTCTCCCCTCACCATGACTCCCAGAATCCGATGGCATCGCAGGAGATTCCGGTGAACTCGACGCCATGATATTCTCTTCGAATTGTGAATAATTATACCAATATTACTTATTTTGATGTATAGAGTAGAATTATTTAAGAAAAATGTTAAGTCTTCTGTACAAAGGTTTGAGAACTATATAGTCATCCTGTGGTTAATTTGCCAGGTGCAGCTAAAGGGAATTGCTTGTTTATTGTACAGTGATTGGGCTGTCAGTGGCTTCAAATGTAAAATGTCTTACAGGAATTTATAATTATTTTGTTTTTTTTAGTGTTTTTGGAAAATTGGCATGTTTTTAGTGAATGAATATTGTTACTTTGGAGGAGAATAATGCATCTGTCATCTAATGATTCAAATGTATTCTATATATGTATATGAATGGCCTTCCTTATTCCTTATTTATGTTATAATGCTGTTATATATTATTTTACCTATGCATTAGAAGATGTATTTCACTTTTTAGAAATTAAATTAATGGTATTTTCTATGAGATGTGAAAATTTGGGTGTTATAAATATAAAATGTAATTTCAGGTGCTATATATATATATTTCTAAAGGATTTGTCAGAGCCTATTATATAATTTTCAACCACTCCTAATGTGCCAAACAATTCGAGTACCGCCCTCCTTAATGCTCATGTAGTCATAGGGGGATTCAAACCCCCGATCCGAGGAGTCTTTCACCAAAGATGTCAATCAATAGGTCTAAGTACATGACACACATAGATATATATATCTATGTGTGTGTGTACCGAGTGTAGGTGACTGCTCTGCGTAAGTCCCCTCTCGACTTGGATTCGAAGTTGCACATGGGATTGGCTGGGGGTCCACCCTTCGGCCAATCCTTATATATATATGTATGTATGTATGTATGTATGTATGTATATGCAAAAACAAAGAAATTGGATGATATGTATGCAAATATCCCATAAAAGTATTATATGAACATGTTTTATTTGGGGCCCCTCATTCATTAAATGGATAATTACATAAATAATTAGGCAGGTAAAAAAGGATTTAGAAGAGATTCAAGCAAATAATAATAATTATAACAAAAAAAAATGTTGATATTAAATCAAAATCCCAACAATATGTAGCATGCCCATCAATTCCACAGTGAAATTGATTCTCTCAATCTTAAATGAATCTAATTCTAATTTGGCTTCTCTTGTTCTTAAACGCAATCACAATCCAGTCCTCTAAACCATAATCACGTGACAATTCTCATGGCTTTCCATACTGCACGTATGCTTCTCTGCATGCATGATTCTGATGAGACAAATGACGTATTTAATTGATTTGTCTTCATCATTGGTATTACAATACTAATAATAATGAAATAATTTTATGGAGATTTACATACATGCCACCCAATTCTTATGTATTTACTTATATAACACTTGAATTAAAATTTTACATTTATACCACCCAAATCTTTCATATCACATAAGAAAATACCATCATTTTAACTTTTTAAGAAGTGATATACATATTTTCAAGTATATAGCTAAGGTGGCATGTATGTAAGAAATTGAGTTAGGTGTCATGTATGTAAATATAAAGGAATCGAGTGGTGGATATGCAATTGTTGAATTATTGTTTTTTGATTATTTGATGTGGGACTAATGCATTGATACTTCGCACGCCATGCTCATGTTGGTTTTATGTAGGGGTGATTGATGTTTGTTGATGTGCAGATTAATAAGTTATGGGCACAAGTAATGCATGCATGAGCATGGGTCATATTCGAATTATAAAGACTGATTTTAGATTTAAGTGGAAATTATATATTTTTAATTTCTTCTCTATATTGAATTTAATTTATAAAAATGTGTTCAAAATATAATATTTTTCTAGGGAGTTTGAAATATTTCAATATGCTTTTTTATAAATATGTTAAAGTCATTAAAATTGATGTGAGCTAGAACTATTATGATGATTGATAATGGTTGAGTTTATTATCATAACATTACTAAAATTTCTCACATGCATATACAAATAAATTATATTTTTTTTATAAAAAATAAATAAAAGAAAATCAAGGGCCCTACATCAATTGGGATATATCCATTATGTTATTTGAAGCTTACAACGATGCTCGAATCTCCTTGATCACTTTATTACAACTATTTCTCAATCTCTCCTCCATATGTTAAGCACCTAAATTTATATTTTTTTAGTTGAGATCACACTTCCTTAGTCCACTTTGTCTCCCTTCGTCTCATGAGAACAAATTAGCTAATTACCCACCCTTATGATGTTCTTCCTTGATTGTCCTTAAAGTCTACCGATACTTAGGTTCGATTGTTTATTCACTTGGTCTTCCCTCCTTACACGAGAATGATCAAGTTGACAATGACTATCATCTTCTAACTTTTGATATTCCCTATTAACTATTATCAAACATTTAGTTACCAGCTACCGACTATCAACCATTGATGTGCGATGTTTTTCTTATTGGTTGCTAGTTTGTTATTCTATTGAGATAATGACTGAGTTAATTGAACTCAATGGACATATTTTTAATGTTCTTTGTAGCATTGCTAAATGTCTATCAATGGTTAACATTTATCTTTAATTATGGATGTTGAAAACAAATCTCTAAGTCACACATTCTCTGCACCTCCCATCTTAAAAGGTGAAAAACCAAGCTAATTGCTCACCATTTTAACTCTTTATGTATCATGTTATGCTTGTCAACAATCGATGTATTTTAGACATTAACATCTGATGCTCTTATTTCTAGCCTTTAAATGTTACTTAACTCTTAATGTATCATGTTAATCATTGCTCAATGCTTGCCAACAATCGATGTATGTTAGATATTAACATCTGATGCTCTTATTTCTAGCCTTTAAATTTTTCTTTTAATTGGGATAACAAATAAGTTGAATATCAATCATAATCTTACTTTTTATGCTTTGAATCTAATATAATTTAATGTTTGCTAAATTAAGGCCAACATTCAATCAATTATTTATCAACATTGGATGTCATCTTTCTAGTTATTTAATCTACTTTCGTGCATAGAACAATCAAGCTGCTATCGTTAGTCATCTCACTTTTAATGTTTCTTTTCAATTATCATTTGATAGTTGTTCCGGTATCCATCATCAACTCACATTTTACACCCATCTTTTTGATTGCCCTATTCCTACTCGTATGGATAACAACTAAGTTAATTACATCCATCCTCAAAATTGTGATACCTATATCAGTCAACATGTATTCTTTGATGATATCTCTAATCAAATAAAATGTTTAATATAATCATAAGAGACTTCTTCTATAGTTTATATCTATTATATTGTATTATTTTCTTTCTTGTTTGGTGGAATGATGTTTTTATAATCCTTGACTCATAATAATGATATTATTTTATTTATCATGTTTGTTTGTTTTTTTTTAAGTTTTCAATATATAAAATCACATGTCGTCTCAACATTCCACTTATATAATTATGTTTGAGATTGTCAGATTACTTTTAGTTATTGGATTATTTATTGAATTATTGCTACTATCATATTGTATTCAACAAGCAACTCTAGTGAAGACTACAACTAATTAAAAATGAAGGGTGTAAAATGAAGGATATTAGATGTTGCAGATATAAATACAATGTACACAAACTAAAGTTGGTTTCATGGTCTTTTGTAGGTGCTAATGGGCCTTCATGGCCTACTAGATCTATTTTTTTTTTTAAACATGAATATCTTCAAAATGCTATGAGCCCATATAATCGACGAATTGTATCCACCGATCATATATATCGATGTGATAGCAACAAACTATTCTCATTGAAAAGATCTAACGAGTTCTTCCACCAAGCTCTCCTGCAAATTTCAGGTTCCTCCGTTGAGCTCACTTGCATGTGTCAAGATCTGTTGTTTTCATTCATTTCTCCTTTTATTTTTAAAGAAGCCACTCATGTGTTCATTCATTTCTCCTTTTATTTTTAAAGAAGCCACAAGTTTTTTTTATCTTCATATACTTCCCTTTTCCGAATAATTCTCTTCTGAATCATGTGAATGGCCAGGAGAAGAGATGTATCAGAAAAGAGGGACATAAGACAAAGCTGGAGAAACAAGAGAATGAACGTGGAGATCCTCCGTGCGACAAACCTCACAAGGATATGTCAAACATATACGTTCAAACAAGATCAGATCAAAATAGCTTGTGTCAAATATCAGGAAAAGAATGCCTACAAAAGCTATCCACAACTAGAGATTCATGTTTGTTTGTCTGTTGTGAAGTTTAGAGTGCTTTCAATGGGACATAACCCACTTGTTTAATTACATCTTGGAGGTTGCCTGAGAATACTCTTGATTCAAAGGAGTTTTACTTACATTAGTAGTGACGACTAGCACAGAGCCATGAAGGATGATTATTTCATAAAGGAATGCCTCGATGCTTTTGAAGCTCTTGCTAAACCATGGAGCGGAGAGTGAGTCTCTCATGGTCCCAACATAGGTAACATAGTCATCGTCATACGGAGCCTGCAAATAGTCGAATCATCCCGACGTGGAGTCTTGATATGTCAAAGAACACCTGGGTCATAAGGGCAGAGGAAAAATCATCAAATCTCAAATGGGCGACACCTCATCAGCAATCAGATCATCGAGATGATACAAATGAAGGCACAAGGAACGACATGGCTCAACAGGAGTAGTCAAAGAAAGGGAGGTGTAATTATTAGAAGGTAGAGGTAGTCGGGTCGGGGTATCGCAGACCTGTCAGCACAAGCCACTATAACCATAAGTCTACCGGTCATGAAAGTAGTCAACCCAATATGTCTAGAGATCCTCGGTTAGCAATATGTGACTTGTGTCTTTCGTTGGGACCTCAGTAGCCCTAAAGTCATAGGAAGGGAAATCTATCATATGATTATTTGGTGGAGCTCCAAGAGGTGAAACTTATACCCCCTGAAATGACAAGAGATGCCTCTTAAAAAGAATAGAAAGGGAGCTTCGGCTACAAAGTTGGAAACATTCCAAAAAACGGACTTACTCTGTCTGGGTCGGGGACCTTCTAATGACCTAAGCGCACTATACAACAATCTAAGTAGAAATCTATGCTAGGCCAGTCGGGATGGGATGCCTCTTGAAAAGAATAGAAAGGGAGGTTCGGCTACAAAGTTGGAAACATTCCAAAAAACGAACTTACTCTGTCTGGGTCGGGGAGCCTTCTAATGACCTAAGCGCACTATACAACCATCTAAGTAGAAATCTATGCTAGGCCAGTCGGGATGGACACATGTAAATGATACAGTTATCTAGAGTGTTCTTTAGATATTGTGAAGGTTTTCACCTTCTTTAGTATCTAATCTATTATAAAGATCACTAAAAGCAGTTTTTTTAATGTCACATATTATTCTTTTAGACTACCTATGTGCCATTTTATCTTTTTTTTTCAGTTCTCTAAGCTTTTACATATAAAACACATAACTTTACTTCTTATATTTTATCTTTTCTTATACATTATTATTCCACCACAAAGTATTTTTATTTATAGAAAATTTTTTCTTTTGATTCTTCAAGTATATCTTTTGTCACTTTTTTGATAATGTTTATTATTTTATCCCACATAGAATTTGTTTCTTCATGAACAACCCAAATCTTGAAATCTTGAAGTTTACTCATAAAAATAATTTTATTTGTGTTCTTTAGGTGATCCCATAGATTATTTCTAATATTCATTATTTTACAACTTCTCATCTTAAAATCTAGAATTAATAATCGATGTTGAGTACTTAAATTCTCACTTGAAATGAACTTAAAATCGTTACATTCTCGACAATCTCTTCCTCTCTTAAGAAAATAATCAATATGTGTTTTATTAGATATATTTTTATAACTAATGATATGCTCATCTCTTTTCTTGAATAAAGTATTAGAAATAACAAAATTATACACTAAAGCAAAATTTAATATGCCTTTACCTTCTTCATTAATTACTCCAACGCCGTAGCCACCATGAATATTTCTAAAATCTTCTACCACTCTACAGACATGTACATACATGTACATTTAAATCTTCTCCAATAAATCTCCTCCAATAAATTTTTTTTTCAAGAGGTTGTATTAATTCTTCTAAGACATTTTAGAAATTTTCTTTAGAATCTATATCTAAACTTGCTCGAGGAGCATAAAGGCTTAGAATACTAAAAATTTTAGTAGCAACAAAAATCTTAAGTGCTATAATTTTATCTCCAATTCTATTAATTTTGACAACATTATCTTTCAAACTCTTATTTATAATTACACCAACACCATTTCTAAACACCATTTCTAGTGTGACTCTCTAGTGTGACTCTTATCTCAATACCAACGTTTAAAATTTAAGCTATCAATTTCCTTAACCTTTTCTCCAACCCATTTAGTTTCATAAATACATAAGATAGTTATCTTTTTGTTCTCATAATATCAACTAATTCCATTGATTTTCCTGTGAGAGTACCTATATTCTAAGACCTTATCCTAACATTAGTTTCATGGATTAGCTTCTTTACCCGCATTCGTCAGTAATGTGGAAATCCTTGTATATTTGACCATATGCCTGGACACTGGTGTAGCCACCCTTGCACACTTCTCACTATCTTCAGGTCATATGTCATATCGCTTCCAGGGGATGCCGTAGCTTCTACACAATGATAAAAAAAGATTCATATCATGATTTTTCGACAAATTTATGCTGGTTGTCGCTACCTAAAACAACCCTCAACTTTTCACATTCGGGGCTTGGGACCCAATAATGAAAATGTTAAAACAAAAATAAAAATAAAATATACCAAAAATTAAAAATAAAAATACACTAACAATAAAAAAAAAGATCCCAAAAGGCCCTTGAATGTTAAAAAATAATAAATATGTTTTATAGTTAAACAATGTTCTCTTAGATGTAATTTGACATGTCAAGAATGACTACTACTAATAAAAAATTTTAAACTTTATTTTAATTACAATATTCACAATTTTTTTTATTTCAAAATTAAATTTAAATTCAATTAATACATGTAAAAATCAATACACATTGAAAATAGTCAAAACACATCCCTTAACTTTACTAATTAACAAAGCTAAGGAGGAGAACAACCACTTAATAAAATAATCAATTATTCAAAAAAAAAAAAATAAATAGTGTAGCAACTTTGAATAATATAAATTTTTTTCACAAATACATTTAAGTATTACAGAAGGAACCTTCTGAAATATATGTTTTAATTAAAAAATAGCTTTGAAATTGAAAAAAAATGGGGGCATCAGAGGGCTTCAGGTAGAAGGAGAAAACTGATTCATCCATCTTTGAGCTGAAACATAAGAAACCAAGCCTTCATATTTTTCTTACATAACATAATTACATCAATGATATGGTCTTGCAATATAAATTAAATATATCATTGTCAAAAACAAAAATATAAATTACTTGATAACTTGGTACATATGTGCATAAAATCACAATCATAAACTTAAATCATGTCTTTTTGAAAGTAAAACCAATAAGAAATAATTTATAAAGCCTAAATCTTAACTGATGGCTTAATTTACTTCAATAAATTTGCAGTATAGTCTAGTTAAGTTTTAGTAAATTGCATTTAACTCCCATCAAATTCAATAATTTTGCAATCTATGTTGGTCAAAAGTTCATCACAACATCCCCAGCCAAAGTTTTCCTTAAAAGAAAAAGAGAAGCTAAAGCATGGAAAGCATTCAAAAACTAACTTCATTATTCCAAACCTAAACAACCTTTTATTTTTAAGAGTCTTAGGCCACATTTGAAGGAGCTTCGCCGTTCCCTTAAAAGTCATGTTGGCAGGATGGAGGTCGGCATCAACATTTTACAACGACGAAAAAATTCTAATTTTGCGAACCAGCATCGGCCGACGCTAGAGAAATGAAGCTTAAGCAAACCGCAAGTCGCGGTTTGCCGCCTTAATTTCCGTCCAACACAAAGGAACCGGGAAGCCACTCCAAAGGAAGCCTTAGCTCTCCTCTACTTCTTCTTCGTCTTCAACACCGGCGAAACTTTGACCGCCGCCGCCGTCGAAGTAGAGAGATCACCCGACCTCCTCCTCAACATTTGCCTTATCCCATCCGCTACTAGAACTGCAGGGTTGGATTTGAACTTGTTACAGAATGACATGTGAGCTTTCAGAGCATCTTCAGTCTTTCCATTTCCTTTCTTCCAACCCTTCTTCATCTCTTCTCTTACGGCCTCCGAGCAGAGCCCGCAAAGCCATTTGCCCTCGAAGTTAGCCTTCACCTGGCTAATGTACTCCTGAGTACATTCTTCTCTCAATCCACAGCATTCACAGTTTGCTGAGTCTACCTCCATGAACATATATGAGAGTTTGAGAAAAGAGCTATGAAAGTAGAAGAAGAAGAAGAAGAGGTGTTGAGGGAGAGAGGAGAAGCTTTTTAAAGAAGGTTTCTTCAATTAGCTCCTTTGTTTAAGGGGGAGTGGTGGTTAGTGAAGTAAAGGAATAATGATAATTTTTTTTGTCAAAAAATATTATAATGATATATGATAAGGGCAAAATATGAAGTTATTCTTATGAACAAGGTGCTTTATAAAGGGAGAATAGGGCACTTTAGTCATTACCATCTCATTCAAGAGAAGTTTTTAGGATAATATATATGTTTTGAGGCATTTTAGGATACTTTGCTTGTCAAGTCTGCAAGCACATGTTTGTGGTGATTAGGGTTGATGTGAAAGCAAGTGATTAAGTGAAAAGCATTTTTTTAAGAAAATAAATAGTTCTTATTTTATATTGGTTTATAGAGAATAATTTTGCTAGAAGATATGGTGGGGGTTTGAGATCATTTTTTATTTTTATTTTTATTTTGTATTGTATATATTTTTATACAATACAAAAAAATGTGGTTTGTTGCTGCAAACAAAGTCAAATATTTTGTGTGTGTATGTATGTTTGTATGTATGTGTCACGTACCACGGTCTGTTGATTGACATCCACGGTATAATACCCCTCAGGTCGGGGGTTCGAATCCCCTTTGACACAATTGCCCTTAAAGAGACGGTACTCGAATTGTTAGGCACATTAGGTGTGGCTGGAGACTCGTATAATAGTCTCTGACCATTCTTAAAAACAAAAATGTATGTATGTGTATATATATAATATTATTTATCCACAATCACATTAATCACATGCGCCTAATCAAATAATTATATAACCAAAATTCAACAAGTTGAACTCGTTCAAATTTGCAAGTCTCCCATACAAGTCAACATATTCTCATGTCAAAAAAGAGAGCTCTCTTCTCCTAAAGAGTTCACACACTAAAGTCATCGATTAGATTGTCTGCTTAACAAACAGCTTTATCAAGCTCTTGTTATGTTATATACTGCATTTACTAACACAAAGATCATGCTTTTAGTTAATCACCCAAACGATATGAGTACTTCTAAGAAGAAGGGAATATTATGACATTATTCAAAATGATAGGTGAGGTTATGACATTTAATGAAAATAATGGCTGTTGAACAATCTCATTGTGGCAATTAACATCATCTAATTTGATTTCTATAGGGTCCAGTGGTCCTTAGTAGGTCTATGTTTGGATAGTTTACAGTAGATAGACATGGACATGTAAATATTATAAGAAATTAACTTTTGATGTCTCTCATCTATTCTATTTCGTTTGAATTTGATCATTTATCAATCGATGTCGTGCTTATGCAAGCGAATAGAATATGATTGAGGGTCTATTTGGGATGATTAGATATGATTGTCGGCATAATTTGTTGCGAATTTTTTTCTTCAATTAAATTTTTGCAAGCTTTAAGGAGTCGTAAATTTATTTATTGTCCAAAAAAGTTGGTGCGAGAACAATTTTGTAATTACGGTATGATTGTAGATTTAGATGTTAAAGCTAGGATATTAATTTTTCATAACTGATGCACATTTTGCTTACACTTACTGCGAAACACACAAATTGCACATTATGATGTTAGTCTTGATGTCTTTTTATGACACTCCAAAATTTCCTTGTAAAATCCTACAAATCAAAAGCTTCACTAAAGATCAAAGTTTAGTTGTTAGATATGTAGTTACATAAGATCTTAGTGGGATGTATGTAAATTTTCAATACACAACACCAAATTGAGAAATTGGGCAGAGTAGTTTATGCTAAAATGAAAGTGAATAGATCTAGTAAAGCATTAACAAATGTAAAATAGAAAAGATACATTTATATGATGATGTTGAGTGCTAGGGAAAGTTAGATGTGAAAGTGTAACTTGCAATATAAAAATAAATGTATTAACACAATCATACAAGCTAAAACATCTAATCTTTTTTTTTTTTGGTAGTTTTAAATGGAATTTAAATTAACCTTACTTGTGTTCAATATCCTTAAAAGTTAAATCTTAATCAATATATATTATAAAATGCCAAAAACTCACATTTGATTGTAGTCGTCAAGAATGATGATGTTGGACAATCCTTATTCGAGTTTTTATAAGTTCTCTACTCGAGTTCACCAAAGATGATACAAGAGTATCCACCTCTACATAATTGAAGAAAGTACTTTAGTGAAAAAATAACCCTTGGGTGAGAAGATGAAGGGGTCCAACCCGAATTGAGTCGGTTTTGGGGATGCAACACATGTGGGCATGATCGATCGTATACTTGGGGGTTTCAGTTGAATACAAATTCATCTCGATGTGCTTCTTTCGTGTTCAAATTTTTGCATTGTTTTGAGATTATTTGTTATCTATTAATTATTAAGTATTAAGTGTATACTTCAAAGTCAACTCAACATTAGTGTTGATCCATCCTCAAAAATTATTTTAATCATTCACAAATAACGGAGCATTTTCAACAAGAAATAATTTCAAATACGAATTCATGATCATCCAAGCTCCAATTTTATTAGACTTGTAATCGAACTAAGCGACTCGGCAAGATGAACCCAACGATTCCAAACTTGGTCAAACCCAAGTCCAATCAAGCACAAATAAATTCGTTTAGGCACAATTGGAGGCTTTGGATGGTCGATTGAATGGTTAAATAGATTTTAAATCTGACAAGCTTATAATTAAACTGAGCATCCTGATAAGACAAATCTAATGAGCTCAAGATCACATAATTCTTGCATCATTAAGGCCCTTAGATATTCATAAATCATCATATGATCAAGAGAATCATTATGGGTTGTCTGATGGAGTGGTCTAGATTCATGCAATATTTATGGAGGATGTCACTCTCAAAATTATAAATAATGCACCACTCTCTTCATAAAGAAAGAATTGGACTTGAAGGAGAATGTTGGAAGAACTTCAAGCTCTTGAGGGTTTCTAAGATCCATCCCTATCGGAATTCCGCGGACTGGTTGCTGCCATCTCCTGACCATTGTTGCCTAATCACCATTACTGAGCCACTACCACCATAGAACCTCTGTCAACCTAGCCATGGCACCATCGTGTGACCACTACCACCACTGTAGAGCTGCC